AAACAGACCACTACACTTACATGGTCCTTGAAAAAACACTTATTAGGACATGGCTTTGTAATTAGGGAACTAAGTACAGAGCTGAAATCATAACTCCACATTCAAAGCCCAGATCGGAGGTGAATTCCCTCTAGTTTAAATAATGCAAATTTCCCCAAACCTGCTTTAGTTTCTGCATTTGTAAAATGGGAATCACAGCATTTAAATGCACAAGTGTAGAATAAAAAGGATAATTAGTTAGCATATGTAAAAGGGTGCATGACTGAAAATCTACTAAATGAAGAACACAAATCCGAGGCAGGATCAAAGAGAAATTAATAACACAGAACTCAACAGCAAAGTATATTTACTAAGTTTTGTGCTGGGAGTAAAACTATTTACTTGCCCTTCTGTATCTGTTAAGTACTGAGTGACAAAGGAAGCTCTTCTTGATGTTCTTGTCCAAGAACAGCATGCTGTCCTGTGATACTATTTATTTTTAATAGTGTTTGGCAATGCAAATATAGATCTGGAAGAATTAGCATCCTGATGGATGTGCCAGACCTTCCTGTATCAAAACCAGTTCTGTATTTCCACTGTACAAGCACATCCCTGTGCAACACACCTTCCAGCAAACCGACTCCACTTATTACTGCATAAGCGCAGAGGAAAGTCTGCCGTATGTTGTATGTTGCAGGCACGGGACCATAAAACCAAAATTGCAGAGTGCAAGCAGCAGCCAAGGAATGACATTCAATTCCAGACAGTACCGTTCCACGGCCTCATTACAATGTGCATCTCCAGAGCAGCAAAGAGAATTAAATGGCCATCACTGCAGGAGAGTCTGGCTGAAGCCTGCAGAACTAGGTCAAGGTTTTTGTTCTCTTGGAATTGTGTCACCAAAAGAAAAAAGTAATAAAGAAATAATAGCCTTTTTATGATCAACAGTTGTGTACACCCAAAAAGCAAACACCTTAATTTAAGAAATGCAGTACCAATCTGGACTGAGAAGCATTTTCATACCACAGTAATATAGATTATAGATGAACAGGGAGCTTAAAAACTATGTTCTTTTTGTGTTGTAAGATACAAACTTTAAAAATCACAGCCCATTTTTTAAAAGCTAAATAGGGGAAAAAAATCAGTAGCAATAATAAGCAGTATTTAGCAGAAAGATGAGGAAGAAAAACATACAAAGTATATGAAAGGTAGTACATTTAGAATCATCTTTGTGAGAGTCAGTAAAATTCAAAGGTATGTTGTTTTGCTACAGCTGTTGGCTCTGCCGTCCACAGAAGTACAAAATCCAAGAGATAAAAGAGAGATGAATAGAATCATAGAATCATTTAGCTTGGGAAAGACCTTTAAGATCATCGAGTCCAGCTGTTAACCTAACACTGCCAAGTCCCACCAAACCATGTCCCTAAGTGCCACCTCTACACATCATCTAAATCCCTCCAGGGATGGTGACTCAACCACTTCCCTGGACAGCCTGGTCCAATGCTTGATAACCCTTTCAGTGAAAAAATATTTCCTAATATCCTTCCTAAACCTCCCCTGGTGCAACTTGAGGTCGTTTCCTCTTGTCCTATTACTCGTTACTTGGGAGAAAAGACCGACCCCCACCTCACTACAACCTCCTCTCAGGTAGTTGTAGAGAGTGGTAAGGTCTCCCCTCAGCCTCCTCTCCTCCAGGCTGAACCACCCCAGTTCCCTCAGCCACTTCTAGTAAGACTTGCTCTCTAGACCCTTCACCAGTTTCGTTGCCCTTCTCTGGACGTGCTCCAGCACCTCAATGTCTTTCTTGTAGTGAGGGGCCCAAAAGTGAACACAGTACTCAAGGTGGGGCCTCACCAGTGCTGAGTTCAGGGGGACAATCACTTCTCAGTCCTGCTGGCCACACTATTTCTGATACAGGCCAGGATGCTTATTGGCCTTCCTGGCCACCTGGGCACACTGCTGGCTCATATTCATCCAGCTGTTGATGAACAACTCCCAGGTCTTTTTCTGCTGGGCAGCTTTCCAGTCACTCTTCCCCAAGCCTGTAGCGCTGCATGGGGTTGTTGTGACCCAAGTGCAAGACCCAGCACTTGGCCTTGTTGAACCTCGTACCACGGGCCTTGGCCCATCGATCCAGCCTATCCAGCCTAGGCACAGCAAGAGGTGTGGCAAAGAAGCACCACAATCAACTACTGGAGATGAAGGCAACTAAAAATCACAGCAGGGATGTTCTGGTATACTCAAATAAGGAAAGTAATGTCATCCTGGATCAATGTACTATACAGATCTTGAGTGACTATCTTTTCTTTTTGGCTTGAAAAATGCCATCTGCAAAACTGTCATATAAAAAAACCCCAGATAACATTTATCATCACAAAATAACTGCTACACAGAACATCATTACTTTTACTATACAAGGCGAGATAAATTTTATCCTGCTATCAAATGCTAAGTCTTTATAGCTGTCCATAATGGTTTACCAGGAAAAAAATATTGTGAAATCAAAATAATAGTAAAAGTGGCAAACCTTTAAGCCTTTCAACATCTGATATACCAAGAACTGGATCCGGTCTTCAGTTAGTTTCTCATGCTTCATTATCTTACTCAAGTCTGTTCCCATAAATGGCATGACAAGGTAGCTTAAAAAAAAGGAAAGAGAAAAGGACAGAATAACTTCTATTTGTCAAAGAAATTGAAAGATAATTGTATGCTATAGTTCACTGACAATATTAATCATTAAACAGATCATTCCATTTACCAAATAATTCCATCATCATCACCCTGCCCTCCAAGTTTCTCTGGTTTTATCTATTTTGATTGTCATAAAGAGGTATTTCCATGACCAGTGACAGGGTTGAGCAAGTTCCCAGTTATCAAGAGTGCAGATTCTGAACTAGTTAGAATGGACCTAACCAAGAGCTATGTGATATTTCAAAGACACCTACACAGAAAATGAAGATATTAACGCGATGCTGTGTACCTCACGGTCACAATCATAGCCTTGAACTAGCAGCAACCAAACCGCCTAGATGGTTCATTCAAATGGACAAGGTCAGACGTAACAGAAAGAGTTGATTGAATCAGCAGGCAACAATAACTTCCATTAATTTTCAACTGGGATCATTAACTGGGATTTTCAATACTTAGAACTGGTAGGGAACACCAGCAACAGAAAGCTTGAGAACACAAAGCTGGCGTTTCAAGGCTAATCCTCATTTAAGATCCAAACTTGCTCTTCGCATTACTTGTAGTAAACTCATCCTTCAGACTCTACCCTTAAAGGCAGGTCTGAACACAAGACAGAGCCAGTCACGTCTGGTACCTGAGGATAAAGTCACCAGTTCTCCTCTTCTTATGAAGACAAGCAGATGCATTTTCATGAAGGGAAGAATTAAATGTGATCATTGTTCCATAGCTACGAATTTTATTATTTAGACTTCAATGGGTTTTCTCTGGTTAAAATATGCAAATTTTAATTCTGGTGATTTCTACTATTAAACCTGTACAAAAACTTCATTTATTCTATTAGAATTGTATCTATCAACAAAATAGAAATTGAATATAAAGACATAAGGGAGATAGGACACTGATTTAGCTACTAGGAGTTACAGGTATTATTTTCAACATTTCCTAGGTACCAAACATTTTTTGCCCATGACTTCAGGGATCAGGACTCAGGCTCCCAGTCCCAGCACTGACACACAAATTTCGATTCTTTGGATAGAAAAGATGAACAATTTAATTCTGTAACTATATAAGGACAGAGAAAATAGGGAGAAGAGAATGACATTGCTTATCTCTCCCCCAGTATAACACAAAAAATGTTTCCCATCAACAGACCAAGTGACTTAGAAAATGGAGTTTAACTTCTTTGTTGATGTTCCTGACTGTTGAATGCATATTAAGTTCTCTTCCCACTCAGACTTATTAAATATATTTTCCCAGGGGTCATGAATATTTGGAATGAGCCATAAAAAAACTTCTTGTGACTGTTCTAGAAAAAACAGAGGTAGAAAGAGGTGGGGCAAGAGAAATGGAGAAATATCTACACATCTTTTACTACTGGTAGTGATCTTCAAGCATTCATTAAGATTTTGCTCGCCTGCCATCATCTGTACACATACCAAGGCCTCTGGATAGATAGTGATTTATGTGGATAGACAAGTTCAAAACAATACATAACCATTAACCACTGTAAAGAACCAGATGAGAAGGACAAATGAGACCATATTTTTACATGCGCACAGTTTGCTAAGTTTACAAATTGATGACTCTTAGAATCAAACAGACAGAGGTCTAGGTGGGTGGAGAAACAAGCAAAATATAACAGATGGAAAACCCACTCCTATCTGAGTTTGAAAATCCAAACTTTAGTAATCATTTATGAGCGTTGGAACAGGACGATAACTGGGTCTAACTATGGGCTCGCTTTTAACACTTTGTCTACTACTTAAAACTTCTCAAACTTTTTTTTTATTATTAAAAATTTATTTACAATCAACAGCTGGTGTCCTCAAATAAGCTGAGGAGCTTAGAAACCTGATTAATATTTCAGTTAAATGGGAAATTGATGCCTAAAGCATTTAAATTCTTTGCAAGTTCAGTTAAAACCCAAAATTCTTATAAAATGAGGAGCAGCAACCCATTCTCGCACATTGCGTATATGATACAAGCACGGACAATGCAGCTGAAGGGAGTAAAAAGCAGCTGGTAGAGCAGGACTTAAACTGGTAAAAATTTATGCATTTCTGATTTTGTACACCATTTCAATCAGCTGAACTTCTAAAACTGAAGGAAGTTCAACACAAGCATGAGCAGGGAAAGGATGCTGAATATTCCTTCATAAAGGAAACGGGATGTTGTCGTCGATCTTTGTTACGCTGACTGGCAGAGTAGAGCAGTGAGTAGAGCAGGAGCATGCTAAGGCTAGAAGTTGTCCGAGACCTTGGGTTTCTTAGCTAATACCAACTTTAGGGACTGGCTCTGGTGAAACCACCCACCTTGCTTCTGCTGCTTCTAGCCACAAATCTGCTTGAATTTGATCTTTACAGAATAGGCCACAGATAACGTCTCATGACTAGGCAGCAAAAAGTCTCCCTCAAATGACCCACTTGACCTTTACTTCACAAAAGCAGTTTCTCCAGTTTTGTTTTAAATGTACACACATCTACCTCTGCTCATCTCTAACAGCTTGCCCAAAATCTTGACAGTAAATTTTGCCATAGGTTTGCCTGATGCAGTTTCAGTTATAAAAACGTGCCTCCTGCTTGACTTGTGCCTCCAAAACTTGAAGGATGATTTTAGGGTCTCATTTAAAACACAGTGCTTGAATGCTAATCATGTACATGTGCATTTTATTACATATGCTACATGAAATGCTAGCACAATAGGCAATATGGACAACATCTTTTTTGGCTCAGTGATCATTTTGGGCCAAATGTTCAATATGAATACATGGTCCACATTTTCTACATTTTCCTGTCAGATAGCTTTCTTTGTTAACACATGAACATGCAAGTTTGTTTTTGAAGCATAGCTACAGTAGATAAAATCCAGAAGAGTTCTAGGAATGTGACATGAAATCTACATTAAGCCCACCAGGACTTCTGACCACTATTTCTCTAGTGACTTTAATTCACAAGAATTGCAGCAGGATCCACAAGCAAAACAAGACTTGCGAAATATCTTGTGTCTGAGAAGCTGCCAAAAGATCAGGGAGATGTACATGCCTCATGCTAGAAACAATCTATACCATCTGACTGCTGGACTGGGAGACCAGTCAGGGACTACAACAAACCACAGTACAGATAACCACAGCAGCATCAGCAGTTTTGAATTAATCCTTGAATTAGGATGCATCTCACAGGAGGCGTGTCATGTAGCAGGCATTGTTTTCAGCCTACTTGTTTGGGTTAAGAATTGTTCTATCATTTGGGCAACTGGGGCCTTAGGGTAAGGAATCAGAACTCAAAAGGTAAATTAGGGAATCCACCAAACTGCCATTTACTAAGGGCTGAAAGAGGTACACACCTTATAAGATAGGTAACTGGTTCTAATGATGGTCTGGAAACCTCAGCCTACCAATTTTGAAGTTGCACATAAGAGTTATATTAAGATGAAACTCAGAAAAAAATCCATGAAGCGACAATTTTGGAATTTTCCCTTTAAAAAAGCAAGAGCCCTTCCTCCCGCACAAGCAATGATGTCCTGCACCCAAACACAAACAACTCAGAACTTACAAGTCATTAAACTTCTCCAGTGTTACATCTGGTGTGAACACATCCAATATTCCAATGACCTAAAAATAAGGGAGAGAAAAAAAAACCCTATTGATGAATACTGATTTAACACACAAAAAATTATCCCAAACTGCATAATAAGTGAAAAAATATAATAAAAAACATTTCCACTGTGAGACATTAGCTACAGGAATAAAGATGGCAGAAAGAATACCTAAAGTAGAGCCTAGCAACACCAAGATTTGTTATATGTTAAATTTTATAACTCTGAGGGCTGTTTCACTCTGTGGTAGAAAATAAAAAAAATGTATTTACGTGAACAAAAAGTTCAGAGGCTAACAGTTTTATGTAAGGGGAGAGAGTATCTTTTAACTTGAACCACTGAACTGTGAAAAATAAACCACACAAATCGGTTTATAACCTGAAGCAGTCCTAAGTGCTGTTCACCTAGCTGGGCCTGCTGTCTGGCAATGAACAACACTTTAAATGTCTTCTGATTTCAGTAACAGGGTAATTTAGGTGCATAGAATACAATATCTAATTGGGAGAACAAAGAATAAACTAGGACTAAACTGTTTTATAGAGAGTAAATTATCAAGAGCTTAATATGATTTACTATGGCTTATACCTTAGGTTCTCCTTAAGAGTATTTTTTTGTTAAACAAAAGCATTCTATCGCTCAACAGAGCAATAACAATCTAGTGAAACAGATTTCCCACCACGGTTTTTCCTACA